ACACACACACACACACACACACACACAGAGAGAGAGAGAGAGAGAGAGAGAGAGAGAGAGAGAGAGAGAGAGAGAGAGAGAGAGAGAGAGTACCTGATGCAGCCTCACGGGCCCATTAAATTGCCCGAATGCTGTGTAGGATAGGCAATAGGAAGATCGGGAAGATTCTGGGTTGATGATTTCTCAGCGTCTCACATGCAAGTCATCTGACGCTTCTCCACCTGTCCGGTATGTTGTCTAGCCTCTACGGATATATGCACTTCTTAGAATAGCAAGAAGATGCATTTATTGCAGCCATGGCGACAGCCCTGTGAAGAAAAAGTTGCACTGGGCTAATTGCTCGGGGTATGCGATCCCTCTGGGGCAGAGAGCCTAATGTGTCCCATTAACCTGGATTCTTCATTTCTGACGGTAAGTTTATATACTGTTATCAACGGCTAGAAAGGAAGAATCTGGATAAGTGGGCGGACCTCTGGCATCTGGCTGCAAAATCCAGGGTTGTCTGGCATAGCGGTCATTCAACGACAATTGCATCAAAATTTTAATTTTGTGTTTTTCTCCCATGGGTGTTGAAGGTTGATCATGTTGTCAATACAACAACATGAATGCCACTTTCTCTACTTCATGTTTCAAAACATTTGGGACTTGCCCAGTTGGTACGCCAATGAACTGTTGAAACACGGATGTGAGTTCAAATCCAGATGGAGCAAGACGAACAAAATATCTGAATTACCTGGGGCTGGTCAGCTCGGCGATGATATCTCAAGGGTATCACCCTTTTTTTTAAAAAAGAAAAAACACTATTGCTTCCTGTGAAGTGCGTCTTCCACGCCCTTATGCAGTAGCATGTGAAATCAACTATAGGTTTCTGACAGTTGTCCGATGTAAGGTGGTAGATGGCAGAGCTTGGTGTGACAGTCCCTACTGGGGACCAGGATCGATCTGTAGCTTGTTATTCTTGTCATATTGTCGGTGCATTGGTGCATGACTCCGAGTTCAGTGAAATCTGTTTACGATTCTCACACCTGAGTTCACGCGTTTGCAAATTGCACGATTCATAAATAGTATTAATGACATGTGGGCCCCATGTGGATGAATGGCACACATTCGACTGTTCATAAGCAGGGATGATTCGAATCCTGACGGGATCAAAATGAATATTATATAATGAAGTAAGTAAGGACAAAATGAATATTATATAATGAAGTAAGCAAGGACATGTGGGGCCCAGCCCTCATTGCCTCCTAACCATGCATTGTGATGGCAGGAAACAGTTGAGGAGTGTTAATAAGCAGCCTCTTAGATTTGAAAAGGTGCAGCACTACCGTCTTCCCCCGAACACAACGCACCCTCATTTTGGCTGTATCTGGCCGGAAATATAGTTTGTATACGTTCATTTTTAGGGTGCGTTATGCTCGGGGAAAGACGGTAGGCCTCTTAACTTTGATGAGGAGTTGTTGTGGTGCATGCAAGACTTGAACCAGGATGAGCAGATGCTTAGGTGTACTCTTACAGGGCAGAGCTCTGTTCCTACCAAACGTGATGCCATCATGTCGGGGTATTTATGTTGGACTATGTCCTTTTCTCTTCTTGCACACAAGGAGTCGTTGTAAGGCCGGTCGGGGCGCCCGGCCTCATGCTGTTGAAGATTGCCCCTTCCTCAAGGTGTGGAAACAGCACTGGGAAACCTGTAGCTATTATACATGCACTTTGTGCCAGTTCGTGGTTACCTGCCGTCGAGCATGAACATGTGGTATTAGAAATATGGTACAGCATCTCCCTGAGAAGAGCTGAGCTAAGCCCAAACAAAGCGTCAGACCACGGCAAGGGTGAGTGAGGGTCCTTGCCTTTCTGGTTATATTGCATACTTGCACAGGTAGACAGCCTAATAACTGCGCAGAATGCTTTGTAATCTTAGACCTTGTTGCTGCTGCCGCTCTTGTAGGTCTTCAGTCAGGGCACTTTGAACGACCTGGTCCACTTGAAATGAAGTCATGGATCACATGCCCAATGGACATTCCAGAGGTACCGCTGTCAGTCGATAGGCCCGACACAGTCCGAAAGCCTATTGACATGTCACATATGAAGCAAATCTTCGTCGTGCAGTGTTATGGCCTTGAGGGGTTAGCAAAAGTTTGCGAAAACTTCGGTAGTCCATTAACCCCCTCTTGTTTTCATTTGATCTCATCTCCAAAGTGAGATTGCGAAGAAGTCTATGACCTCCACGGTGAGAGGAGCATGAATGCCATGGTAATCCTCTATGACTGCTTTTTTTTTTGCTTTTTTTTGTTTGCCCCAGGTCATTGCAATCAGACTCGCTATCTTTCACACTTCATATGCATGCAAACAGGTTGCGCAGCAAACTGGCGACAAGCGCCCACTCGAAACTCAGAGATATAATAATCAAGAACGCAGTTCACTTCAATGGCTATGGCGGCACAGCGCCTGTACAACTCTCTGTTCACACACACAGGATCATCCTGGATATCCCACACGCGTCACTCTATACACACACGCACGCACACACGCTATACACCTCTACCGGCTATGGCGGCTATAACCGCTGCTACCCCTATCGCTATGGCTAAGCTGCTTCTCGCCCACTTCGTCTTTGGGCTCACTGCAGACCACCTCGCACAAGTCGCTATGGCAGCGCTTCCGCATGGCTTACACAGGAATGAATGAATGGCTGGGCACTGCCTCTTGATTTATACTTCTGCAGCTCGTTGGTCTGCCCCTTTCCCATGCCCGTGGTGCACACAGTCCCATACGGTACTTGCTTGACTGGACTAGGACTGACTGGGACTGGGACCACTGACTCAGCACGGGTAGACTCCACCACTTGCCCACTTGCCTCAGCCTAAACGTGAGCAGCTTCGAAAGGCCACTACAAGGACCTTCTGGAAGGCCATGGACTTGGCCTTTCGATACTGTAGCAGCTACGACCTTGACCTTTCAGGGGTCCTACAGGTACGACTTCTAGAACTCCCTAGGACCACTATCCGACAGGTCTATTGATCGAACCCCTACAATCTACAGGCCCTATGGCAGGCTATCAACTGTGGGAACAGACACAGGTCGTGGGTTCAACTCCTGGGGTCGGCACAGGTAATGTACACAGGTAAGGTGAGTCTAGGGATCGAGCCCTGGGATCTGCATCGGCTACTGCGAACAGGTGAATACCGTTTCATCATTCTCAATGATTTCATTTTGTTCATCTGACAGTATCTGGATTCGAACCTAGGTATGTATTTCAACAGTTCATGGGTGTACCCACTGAGCTAGAGCTGCTGGGGCCGTTGGTATGGCTTCTTTCTTTTACTTTTCAAGTAAGTTGTAAAGTAGTTTATTCTGGTCATCTGATTGTGAATGGATTCAAACTTGGGTCTGTATTTCAGCAGTCCATTCAAACTTGGGTCTGTATTTCAGCAGTTCGTGGGTGTACCTACTGAGCTAGGCTCGTTGGTGTCTTTGACTTTGCTGTGGAGAATCTGGATTTGATCACCCACTCTTGCAGCTTCTTTGACTCTTGGAGACATGGGCATGGTTACAGATTGGGACTTAGATGGAATCATCCTTCTTGCATGGGATGTCGGTTATGTAATCGCATGCCCTTGACTCAGCATTGAAGCACCCATACCTCCGCCAGATAGTAGTTCTCTTGTTTGTATAATTATGTGCGTCTCTTGCCCCGATCGTCTTCAAGTTGAGTCTCGGCGCTATGTTTGACTCGCCCGCTCCACAAGTTACCTCTTGCTTCTGTCTCCAATGCTTCCACCTTACTAACCTGTTTGTTTACTCTGGTTTGTGCACTGATGGCTGACATGGTCTGGAAAAAAGACTGTCTTCCACAAAAAAAAATTGACGGATGGGGATGAATATCTTGTCTGCTACATTTGGCAGGGCAGTTGGACTGGAGCAGGAGTTATCAGAGGCCAAGCATCACATAAACGTGATAGAAAGGGAGAGAGACATGCTAGAGGAGGAAATCGAAATTGCCTACCGTGGCAAGGTAGGTAGGTTGTCTTTTTTTTTGTTGAGGAGTTCTGAAGAATTAAAAAAAAAAAAATCAAAAAAAAAATCAGATGTGTTATCTAGGTTTGCCCGACCTCGATTGGAAGTAATGTGGGGGTTTCTTACCGTGACTTCATGACTTATCGGGGAAATCCCTGTGATACAAGACGACAGACTGGATCGGAGAAAATGGGATGCCTGGTGGCGAGCTGGTCAAGTCATTGGATCAGGATAGCCGGATCGTATAATAACAAGCAACCTGAAAACCGGCAGGGAAGGCAGCATAAAGACAGAACTGCAGATTCCAGGAGGAAGACTACATTGGCGGGGAATGCAAAGGAAGGAACCTGGTCAGGTGGGATCCTTTCGAGGGCATTCTTGCACTCGCGCATAAATTGGCGGCATAATATTGTAAAATTTTAAATTTGTGCAACTTTTAGGGCCACCTGTTCACCGTATTTTGTGAATTCACGTATGTGGGTACATGCTTGTCCGCGGCCTGGGGAGCCACGCGCATGCATATTCTGCGGACACCTGTGGAGGTGCATGCAAAATATATACTTTCTTTTCTGTGATTTCTTTTCATGTTCACAATCAATTTTTTGTGGCTCGCACCATGTGACTGCGCCTTGTGTCAATTCGCATTTGGAGGAGTGTTTGCGGTCGTGTCTTTTCTGTGTTGTGCCAGATAAGGGGGAGCTGTGTGACCAGGCGGTGCCCTATAATCACAAAATCGCCAGCACAAAATTTCCGATTTTACGTGCTAGTGTGAGTAGGCCCTGAGGTTCCCAGTTTTTAAGCAAATCTGACAGTGTCGGCAACACCAAGGCTCAGAGGAATCTGAAAAGGAAAAGGCTAGCTGACAGCTAAACCACGAGTTCACACAAACTTAAACCTCCAGTACTTCCTAAAGTCGTGCCCATTAGCAAGCCACAATTTTAGGAAACGCACGGGTCGCTACAGGAGCGCCCAAATTCATACGACTAGAAATGTTTCCACTCTATTTTTTTCCGCGGCTGATAGCTGGGCCAAGAACTGGTGGTTAAGTAGTGCAATAAAAGCTTTCCACTTCGGGCCTGGGCAGGTAGTGAACGCGGCAGGCCACTTTGAAAAGGCACAGTTGCAGGCTCGCGAGCCTTGGAAGGTAGTTCGTGAACTTACGCTTGTGTGAACTGATGCTTTAATTCTCCAGAGGCACAGCTGCAGGCTCGTGAACCTTGGAAGGCAGCCTCGCCAACTTAGGCTCGTGTGAACTGATGGTTTAATCCTCCGGAACATGGAGTAATCAATGTCGATCAGGGGTCCTTTGGCTTAGATGGAAAAAAGCATGATGGGTATGCCATACGCATTTTATAAAATTTTTATTGCATATTTCTCTCGCTTGTCAGTGGGAAAGGAACCGGATTAAAGGTCCTCAGAATGGATATGTAGCAAGCCCATAAGGTCCTCTTTCTCAAAAAAGAAAGAAAGGAAAGGAAGGAAGAAAGAAAGAAAGGAAAGGAAGGAAGGAAGGAAGAAAGAAAGAAAGAAAGAAAGAAAGAAAGATAGAAAGAAACAGCTCATATTTACCTTGTACTTGCGCCAGCTCTCTTGGGTTGGAATTCCGGCCTGATTCCAACTAGTTTGCTCCTATTTTTTGAACTTGACTATGTCATCCGATTCCATGCGCATCACCTTACCCAGCTACTGTCTTCACCCGAATACAACGCCCGGTCATTATCGCTGTACCTAGACTAGAAGTTGAACCAGCTACGGCTATAATGACATGGTGTTCTATTCGGGTGAAGACGGTAGGTACACTCTAAACATGACCATAAGGTGAACATCTGTTTGGAGACATTTATAGCAATATATTAAATACAATATATGGGTTCAGCCTCCTGATGAGTCGGTGAAACTCCAACGAAACAGTTTGTCACAGCCCCTCGTTTGTTGTCCTCTTCTCCCTCTCTGCCTACGGTTTACCGGGCAGCTCTGTTTGACGATTTATATGCTTTTTTGAAGTTTTCCAAGTTTTTTTGTTATATGTAGCATTTGCCAATTTGTTCATCATCACGGATTTTAAATATGGATGCGGTAGTCTCAAGATCTAGCTGAGCGTGCAGTAAAGTCCAGGTAAAGGATGAGATTGAGCTTTGAAAGTCTTACAGTCCGTTTTGGCCAAATTTTCTCTAACCTTGGCCAAAATGTATGTAAATTCTTGTATCAATTACTTTTTGGCCAAAATGAATGTAATTCTGCAGCTATAAACTACTACAAAGTTTTCATAACAGGTATGAATTTGTCGGTCCCTGTGAGTATATTTTTTGTCAGGAAAAACTGGTGAGATAAACCTGCCTTTTTCCTGAACTACACCTGGGCACTCTGCATCTGCAAAGGCCTACCAACCCGACACAAGGACGTAGCTGGCCGCTGCCTCTGTTTATCATGTAGGTTCGGGAGGCACGGGTGTCTCTCAGGCAAAACCACAAAGCTTGTCACTGTTGTCAACAAGTGGCTACAGAGCAAGTGACAGAGGGTTATTTAATCGCCGCCAGCATGGCCTATTCATTTGCCTATAGTCCCGAATACCTCTTTACTGAAGGAAATTAGTTTGCCAAAGTTGTCTTGAATTTCCTTTGGCGAAAGCTCAGGAAATGTTTCTTCCCCTCTTTATCGACCTATTGACACGGCTGTCTTACTGCTGTTTTTCTACAGGCCCAGGTTCAAGACAGCCTCAAAGAAGCGACAGATCGGGTGAGTTCAGTAACTTCAATCACTACTGTGAAACTAATGAGCTGGAGAGATGACCGGAACGAAAGAGTATCGCATCTTCTCAGCTCAGTCTTATTGGAGATGAGTAGACTCGTAACTCTCATAGAAGAAGAACAAAAAGTTTAAATAAAATTTGATCAGGTCCAAGAGTGTGAGGGTCCCAGACATGCATAATCTAGGTTAGCAAGCTGAGTGGAATTATAACTCACATAGAAGAGGACAAGAAACTTTCGATTAGGTCCAACAAGAGTGTGAGGTTCTAAACATACATTATCAGGTTCACAAAAAGCGCATCAGATCTGGATTACGATTACATGTCAGTCTGAAAGCATGTGGAAATGGGTTAATGAACTACCGGTAGGTTACTAGGCCCTCCCGGCCAGGTCACCCCTCCCAGGCAGGATGGAGAGGTTTCGCCCGTCCAATCTGGGACTGCCCAGATTTGTCCTTGTCTTTTTCTTTGTTTTCCTTCTGTGATTTTCTTGAAAATTTGGAAGTCGACTTGGGAAGGGGTGTTCAGGTGAGGAAAGGGATCCAAATGGTTTAGAGAAATTAAAGGGGTTTAAAGGTGTGTACATTGACTTCTGTTTGTGTGCGAAGGCTATAGTTTTTTTTTGGTCGTGAAAACGAGGCATTTGCAGATGACCCGTAGCCAAAGGCATTTGCAGATGACTCGTAGCCAAAAGTCGTTTCTACTATCATTTTACATAACATAGCGGGTGAGGAAACGGATCTTAATGGGCTACGAGGGTTTTGAAGGGGTGTATATTGACTTCTGTTTGTGGTGTTCTAATCATAGTGGATGCGAAGTGGTGGATCCCGTCTCTTGGGAATGCCACGTTCAATTTGATGGAGTCTAAGCAAATGGCTGCTCATGGATGGTAGTTGTGCAGTGCAACTGGACAGGCACCTCATGTCTTCGTGTTTGTGTCAGTGTGTCAAACTCCAAACTCGTGTAATGCCATTGCGTCACACCTGAGAGAGAGTAAAACCTAATTGTATATAAATGACTGAGACTGCTCAAAATCGAATGGAGAGGTGCTGCTGAAAAGTCAGAAAAAGGAAAAAAAGAAAAGTCTTATGGTAAAACCTTGGTAAGAAGTACTAAAACGGTAGTAAAAATTTAATGCCAAGAATCAAGACTGGTTCAACTGCAATGGATCAGAAGATGAAGTTGGTCGGTGGCACAGGTACTAGAGGAAACTTTCTATGTTTTCTTCAGCGGTTCAACACGATCATATGCAATCTTAACGAATTTTGAAGAGATTTTGCGCGATTCAGGTTTTTGTTGAAGAAGCTTGACAAACCCTTAGTTCACAATTTCTTGTGAGGCAAATCATCTGAGTCACATGACCATTTACCTGATTTTATCATGACGTGAACTGCTACAACCGTGCTTGCAGGTGGCATCACTGGAAAGTGAGGTGAAGTACTTCCAACAGCAAGTGACTGAGCTCCATGCCGAACGAGAGAAAACCCTAGTAGAGGTAGGTGGAAAGTCACACCCCATGCGTGTGCAGTTCAACACACCCAGAATTGCACAGATGTGGTGGATCTTGCACGGCAATGCACGCCTTGTTTCATCTCTTCTTGTTTTTTTTTTTAAATGGGTTTGGGAATGACATATGGTGTTTGATATTACACACCGACACAAACACTATGCCTTTGTTTCTACAAGTGTTAAAGATCCTTCCGTATCCTTTTCTTTTTGCCACAGGATTGTTATGAGGAGGCTCAGAGAGTGTCTGCTGTGGGTCTGATCCCCACATGCTGCTGTTTTGGAGCAGCTGGATGGATAGGAATAAAGGGTGCTTTAAGCAGCGGTGCTGGTCATGTCCCGGAAGGCTTTTATGGCACGTGGCCTGGCTTTGCATGGTTTACAAGTGTTATGGGGTGTGCTGCCGTGTGCATGGGCAGGCTCAGAGAACTTGTGGTGTGGGTGAGATTCCCTTTGGGCTGAGTTTGTAGGAGCACCTGGAGGGGTTTGTCTCTGGGTGGATTAGCAGCTAGAGCTCCTGGTGTAGGACAGTCGTGATGTGTATGAATGGTATGCAAACCGATAGATAGTGTTTCTTGTCAGAGCAGGCTGTGTTCCCTTACATTGCGAGTATGGTGACAGCCAGACCTTGTTCTGGAGATAACTTCCTGATGAATGGCGTTGCTGTTGGTGGTATTTTTCCTCACATTTGGTGATTTATGTTGGCTCATTGTTTGAAGGCGGGTGAGTAAATTACGAAAGTCTCACTGCTCGTCCCTATTTTAGAGAGTGCAGCTGTGCCATTATTGGAGACGGTTGTGGGGGCACTTTGACCTGGACCACACAAACATGGCGGATCTTGCACATTTTATTTTTGTCTGGATCTTGGGAAGGATTTGGGCTTAATCTTGGTGATGACACCACGACATACACACGCTGGAGTTTAGTGACCAGACACACACACTTTCCTGCCGACATGTCGGCAACACGGCATGTGTCATCAACGTTTTCGGAAACCTGTCATAGAAAGTATGTGTCCCTACTGCATGAACTATCCCCAATGCCAGCACCTGCCACATCCTCTCGTAGCATGTCCCGAATGCAGCATTGGGCGTACACCTGCTGCAACTGCAGTCGGATTTCCTTCATCCGCACCAAGCAAACAACCAACACCGCAGCCTGAGGAGGAAAATACTGATAGGCTAGCACCACGAGGGCGAGCTGATGCAAACCAAATCCTTCAATAGCTAAACACCCTTGCTTTGGATCAGTTCCAATCCTCATCTGTCCATAGAGAGGAAATAATGACTGCGGAAACCCAAGAAACCTGCTCTTTCCTTCCCCTTCCTACCCCTTCCTACCTCCCTCCCCTTGTGTACTACCAGTAAATCCATACAAGTGAGCATCATTAAGAGAACTGACAAAATATAAGCTGAAGATCAGGAGAAAAATGTACAGTAGCATACCCCCCCTTTTACTCTGCCTCCTATCATAAGGCACAAGGGAATGTGGGCAGCTGGCGCTCAACCACAATCGACGTGGCCAGCCCTCTACGTGAGAGGCATAGTAAAAGGGGCGCTGCAATAACAAATAAAAGGAGAGGTAAAACTGTTTCATTATTGAATTAACTCATCTCAAGTGTGCTTCGTTGTGTGCAATAGAGGTAAAGTTGCTTTGGTTTTGGATCCACTCATCTGGGTGGAACAGGGCCTGTTGTGCGGAAAATCTAAAACACATACGAGCCGTGTTGACGGTGGGTGTGATTCCCGTGGGCTGGGTTCCCGTGAACCACTTGTGAACACATGGAGTAGGGCAACGGGCCTGCCTTCTGCAGAAATGATTCTCGTACAATGTGGGGATTTGAGTACATGTCCGTTTGCTGTCTGAGGGTCGTGTTGGTGACGTTGACTAATGAACTGGGTTTCGGAGGAGCATTGGTGGTAAGCATTAGGAGACTTTATGTGATATATCCGATGACGGATGTTGACTCCGTGTTTGGCTTGGTGCTGTTTAATGGTAATTGAAGGAGTGATTGTTGTTTTGTTCTTTGTTACTTCATGTGTTGTTGAACTTGATTCTTGTTTGCAAGTGTGTGCTGATGGAGGGATGCTGTGGGCAGCAATTGCTCAACCACGCACACCTAGGGTGCCTTGCAATCTGATTGTTATTTTGCCTATGTTTTAAGATGGATTGAGGGTCAATGTTTAGGATCTTTGACAACATGCAACACACACACACACACACACACACACACACACACACACACACACACACACACACACACACACACACACAGACACACACACACTCACACACACACACACACACACACACACACACACACAGCTAACTCTGGCATTCACTGTCGTCTTAGATTGTTTGGGCACGAATGAGAAGATTTATGCACATGTGATCTGTAGTGCTGGTGAGTGCAAGATTGCATTAACCGGACTCACTCAACCGCACAGGAGTGGGAAATCTTGCACCTGGGATTTTCGTTCCTCACCTTCTTTGCTTTCTGGTGCTTTCAGTGGTCAACCTCACCCCGTTGTCATGAATGTATATGAGTCAAGTCACGGTTAGATAAAATCGTAATGGCACAGGCCATTGAGTTCAGTGAGTGTTGAACAGCTAATGTTTTTCAGTATAGGTGATAATATGCTCTCTGACGAGTGATGCTGCTATTCAAAATTCCTGACTTCTTCCTGTGAATGCGCTGAACTTTCTCCTGTGCCCAGTTAGAAACTGTCCGCTTCGAGCAGAAGAGTATGGACCAGGCCCTAAAGGAGCTATACTCAAGGTAAGGAGACACAGGGAACACACACTCTTCAATCCACGAGTATTCTTACAAATAGCTGTGTCAGTCCCATGGCATGTTCATACATTTAGAATAACCACAGGAGGAAGGGTTTCTTGCATCCTTTGTCTCGCATGATACCTGAAGACACTTTCAGTGGAGGTCCTGGGCTACCTGTACTAGGCCGGTCCGCTGCAGAATGGGGAGTGCCACTCAAGAAATCAACCACAACAAAACATTGTGCCCTGAGGTGTATACTCTGGTCGTGAGACATCAAGACACTTTTTGGGCCCAGTCGCCCAAGGACCTGAGCTGCCTGTGGTAGGTTGAAACACTGTGAACGGAAAGCACCGCTCTGAGAAACTTGTCTGAAGCAATTTGTCGCATGACACCAAAACTTGTGCAATGAGGTGCAGATTCATGTCCATCAGGAACTGGAATGCTACAGAAAGGATTGACAAGTTCACGTGCAAGGATGAAACACAAAATCGAAAAATGGTCCCACGTTGAGAGAGAGAGAGAGAGAGAGAGAGAGAGAGAGAGAGAGAGAGAGAGAGAGGTTCTTCTTCGTCTTCTATTTCTTACCACCTTCCATATCCACTTCTCTCATCCTACTTCGACAGAGAAAGAGATCAGAAACTCCCGCTCTATGTCAGGAAGGTTTTGCCCCGAGGTCAAGACTTGACACTGTGACTGGTGACAATTGTGGGACTTAGAGAGAATATTATTTGGTTGTTACATCGTGTTGCACTCTTCTTCTTCTTCTTCTTCTTCTTCTTCTTCTTCTTCTTCTTCTTCTTCTCCATCCCCCTCCTCCTCCTCCTTTCTTCTTCTTCTTCTTCTTCTTCTTCTTCTTCTTCTTCTTCTTCTCCTTCTCCTTCTTCTCCTCTTCTTCTTCTTCTTCTTCTTCTTCTTCTTCTTCTTCTTCTTCTTCTTCTTCTTCTTCTCCTTCTTCTCCTTCTCCTCCTCCTCCTCCTTCTCCTTCTTCTACATCCGTTTATGTATGTCCCTCCTCCTCGCACATTTGTCTATCTGTGTCCCTCCTTGCATCTTGATGTATGCAATGATGTCTGTTTGTGTTGAGTCAGGAGTCTGATGAGTCACATTGCTATTCTTCAGCCTTCCTCTGCTTTGTGTTGTTAGTTCTCCTCGCTTTGGAGATCACCTGCTCCTGCACCATGCCTGGACACTCATAGGCATGCGTTAGTCTCCTGAGTCTTTATTGACTCTGTCATCTTTCATGCACTTTCCTTACTTTTCCTGCCTTCTTTTTCTGCGTCCTTCCTCTCCTTGCCCTCTTTCGCTTTGCGCTCTCTTTTACAGCGTGCAAGTGTGCTGTTATGGTGGACGGGGGTGTAGGTATCTCACACTCAACTACATTGTGGCAAGCCTTGTACCTGACAGGCACAGTAAAGGGAGAACTGAAAGACGAAGCAAAAGTGAAACAGTGACAGACTTCAAAAAAGCCAAAACAAAGAAAGACGACAAATAACTTTATAGACAAAGCCAACAAGAACGGTTTGTGTGCCACATGCTCTCTTCTCTTCTGTGGATTTGCCTCACAAGTGCACTCCCTTAGGCTGCAGAAGAAGCTGACTACAAGTTCTTTTATTCTGGCGTGCAGGCAAAGGAAACTGGAAACTCAAATGGCTGAATCAGAGAAGGAGAACTTGGGCCTGAGGGAAAGGCTGGAGATAGCTAATGTGGCAATTGATGAAATGCACAAGGTTTGGTTCCTTTTTTCATCTGCATTTTTCCGACTTTTCATGTGTTACCTGTCTTAGGAAGAAGGGCGATGGTGGAGTTGTAATGACTTGTTCTGTAACACAGCATCCTCTGTGAGAGCAAGGGTCAGTCATCGCTGGTTCTATGTTGATACTGTGAAAGAGGCACGAACCTGAACGTTACTGATGCCAGGTTCGTGCTCTCCAAGCAAGCGCATAGCAGCATTGGGGCCTGTCCTTATAGCCTTGCGGAGTGTGTTTCTGACTGAGATTGTTTAAGTCACTTCAGGTCGTGCCTTCTGGTGTTTTCGTTTTTCTAGAACGCATGCCCTCTTCCTCGTATGCCCATCGATTGCTTCCCATGACTAAATCTTCCACTCTGCAAACGCTTGAGAGTGGTCCGGGTTTACTGCGGTATCAGCAATCGTTTTCATGGTGCTTCACCTTCCATTCTTGTTTCAGCAGACTCTGAACCTCTGACGTAATGACAAGCGAGGAGTCAAAACCTGGACCTTAGGACTGCTCAGGGCTGGGATACCTGGGATCTGTACATAATTTGCAGACAGAACCCTTTCCATTTTGTTTCGGCTTCTAGCGCCTCCACTGGGGGAGGATGTGACTGGTCTGAACATCTGAGGATAAATCATATGGCTCTGTTGGAACATAGCAAACGAATGAGAAAAGGCAACAGAGTAGGAGTTGCGCAGTTGGTAGAGCACACGAGTGGCATTCAGGAGGTTGTGGGTTTGAGTCCCCCAATCGTCCATTCGATTCCCCACGGCCTCCTCAGGCACGCTCTGGGTTCACCAGTGCAGAAAGACAGCTTGCTCCTCCTGGTTGGTCTTGGCAGGAGCCTGCTTGATCTTGCCAACCCTAGCTAGAGGTCAAGAATGCAGCGGTGCTTAGGCACGGGAGGAGGTCGGCGCCGATCCATAATTCTTGGGGCAATAGCTGCAATACTGCAACTGGACATAGATAAGAGGTTACCATAGGCAGTGTGAGGTATATGAGAGAAGAATATAGCGTAGTTTTCTTCCCTATCCCTAATACTCTAAAGCAAACAGCGGGTCTCGCGTGACGGTCCCATGTGAGACCCGGTTCCCTGCCGGGGCAGTCCCGGCGGTCCCGCGCGGATGGTAGCAGGCTGATTTGTCGTTTCGTTGTTGTCGGGCCTATCGGGGGGGTGGGGGGTTTGTCGGTTAGGGCCGGGGGGTTGTCGTTTTGGCCCCGCGTGTATCGGGACGGCGTATCGGGGGGGGGGGGGGGGGGGGGGGGAGCAATTAAAAAAACAAAGGAGAGCTTGCTTGTTATGAACAATGCTCGGTCAGAGAACCTGAAGCAGAACGGTACGAATACACCTGCATGTTTCCAGAGTAGTAAACAAGACAAACATTGACCTATGAGAGACAAGACAGCCCGCAAACAAAAAACATGTCCACGTTATGCAAGAAGTAGAGCACAAAAGATACATTGTAAGTTTTGTAACATGTCGGAAGGGGAGGGGGGAGGGGGGAGGGGGGAGGGGGCAGCGGGGGGGGTTACGTAATAGACATTCGTGTTTGCGACTGGGTATTTGTTTGCTTGGTTGTGTACCTTTGTGTAATCGTGCTATGTCCAAGCATCAGTGTGAATGCATTGCTCCCGCATCGTCCTCAGATGCATGGCATGCTTCATTGTTGGAGCAAGGTACTTTCCGCAAATTGTAATGGAGGAGCACAGGAAGGAATGTGAACTCGGATTCTGAATAAGCGGAACCCGGTCAGCTGTCAGTGTGGAACTATGTTCATTAGTATGAAGTCAATAGAAACAGTGTAGGCTATCCCTACATGACTATGTAGTATGCACCATAAGCATGGCTGAATTGGGCTAATCATAATTATAGGCAAACCCCATTGGTGCCATGTTTGTAATCAGAAAGCATGAACCTAGCTGTAGCAGAGGCCAGATTCATGCTAACATATTTCACAAACATAGCACCAGTGGCGCCTGGCCCTTAAAGTCCTGGTGTGAGTATGCCTTGTCCTGGCATTGTCTCTTACAGCTGTGAGGAGTTGGCGTTGTCTGATTGACAGGTATGCCTTTGGACTGATGGCATTTAAGGTCTGAAGTCATAATTATTGGCAGCCCCCATTGGTGCCATGTTGGTGATCAGAAAGCATGAACCTGGCTGTAGAAGAGGCCAGATTCATGCTAACATATTTCACAAACATAGCACCCGTGGCGCCAACCCCTTGTAGTCCTGGTGTGAGTATGCCTTGTCCTGGCATCGTCTCTTGTAGCGGGGAGGAGTTGGGGTTGTCTGATTGACAGGCACCGATGACGTTTGAAGTCTGAGCCGTCCTGTGCGGGTTACCTTACGGTCCCAGGTCCATTCTATTCTTGTGATCCTTAATACGGTTTTCTTTTCCAGCGAAAAATCCGAGATGAACGGATTCTTTCAAACTACTCCGCTCTGGACTACAAACTTTTTTCCATATGCCACACCGGCATAAGGCAAAGACAAGACGCTGGAAAGCAGCGCAACAAGCAGAAATGTTGTTAGGCTAATGAATCGTTACGAGGTACTTGGTTACCAAGAAGATGTAGAAGTCTATGTTGGTAGACTGAGAGGGAACCTAACATGGAATAAGGCTAGTCTGACAGTTAAGTCCTATCAGGAGCAGTCGATGCTCTTCAGGGTGTGGGCCATCCTCTATGACAGGAAGGATTGGTTTCCATCGTTGTATCTATAGGGACTTGCCAGGCCTTTGGCCTCCAGGGATCATTCAATATTGTGCACCATGAAAGGAAGGTAGTAAGGTACCATTTATGACATTATTAAGGGCCGGTGTGATCACTACTTCCCGGTCTAAAGCCATGTGAATAAGTGATTCCGTTTGAGCCGCCCTGCTCCTGAGTTCTCTCCATGCCAACGGGAGCTTTTGCGTTGTACCAATTCATTTGAGGTCTTGCCCCCTTGCCACCGGCCAACCATGTACAATTGGATTTTTTTGAATTTTTTTAGCTTTAATCTTATCTGCTCCTCATCCCCTGGATGAAATAAGTGTTGCTGTTTGCTGCCATTTGCACCTGATCTATCGTCTCTGCTTTTCAATGAAGAGTCTGGCTGATGCCCATACTTTCTGCCCTGGGTTCCTCGCGTTATCCAGTGTCATAAGTATAGTTTCTCTCCATAGGCGCATAGTGGGACCTTCTGGATCATACCATGCCACAACCTTCCAGGCTTACTGAAAGGAGAAGGGAGGTTAATGTCAGCTATGGACCAGGCCAAATAAATAGTGTGCAAGTACTTCAAGGCAGGTCAGTTTCTGTTAACCAACTGAGCTCCAAAGATGAAGGCAAGAGGAGGGCCTGAGGCAGAACGTGGAATAATACGCCACCATATGTTTTGTCTTTTGTGCATTTGGTGAGTAGAGGCCCTTAGGGCCACTGCACATATTCCTAAGAAAAGAAAAACGAGAAAAGAACAGAAAAGCGAGAAAACAGAGAAATAGTTACCCATAACCGAGATGCACAGACCTGAATTCGAATCCAGACTATATATTCTCTGCCCCCCCTTGCGAAGTACAAGTTTGAACTGTATCTCTGCATGACGTCGGGTCCTAGCTAATATGCTGTAGGGATCCTTCCGAAAAGAGGCTGGACACAACTAGGACGTTTTTTATTTTTCTACTTTTTTAATGCGCCGCATCACTTGTGCGTGCGTGCGCGTGCGGCACCCCCACGCATGAGATGCGCCGCAAGTATGATTTGAACACATCTCTCTCTCTCTCTCTCTCTCTCTCTCTCTCTCTCTCTCTC